GGCGGGGTGGAGTTTAGTAACCAGAGTATATTAGTGTGTTTCCAGAAAAAAGGAGTGGTAAACATTTTAGATGGCACAAAGAGGTCAAGCTACAAGGAAAACTGAAAATATCTGTTATTTTACAGTGTTTCTCAACTTTCATTATTGCATCCTAAGGTGCCTTTTCAGATTCCCCTTCACTCACACCCCTCTTCCATAAAATTTTAATACCACGGAATATTTCTGTACACCTCTTTATGTACCATAAATACCTGTGCTTTATACATAAAAGTATGATTTTTTTTTTTTGGCCTCAAAGGAAGCAAATTTTCAGCCCGATGAGAACGTACAATTTAACACATAGAGGCCATTTGGTGATCTTAGTAAGGGCAGTTTCAGTGGTAGCTCAGTGGAATGGTGGAAACAAAATAAACCACAGTGTGCTGAGAAATAAATAGCAAGAAGTTGGAAAAACAGAGATGAGAGTAAACGATACATTCAAGAACTATAGCTATGAAGGAGAGGAAAAGACAAGAAAATAAATGGGATTAGTTCATAAAGTTAAGGAAGAATATTTTTAAATGCTGAAGGAAAAATGTGAGTAGAAGGGGAAAGGCTGATGAATTGGAGAGAGGAAATAACTTAACCAAAAAAAAAAAAAAAAAAGACCCTGAGAAGGTGGAAGAGGATGGCACTGGGAAACTAGGTGAAAGGATTTGCCTTCCTAAGGAGAAGGGAAACTTCTTCCTCTTTAAACAGAAGGGAAGCAGATTTGTATATTTGGTTGCAAGAAGATGATGGCTTCTATTTTCTCTGTGTAATAGGAGAGAAGGTCATTTGTTGAGAGAGAGTGAATTCCTCTTCTCTACAAATGCCACTCGTTATGTATGAATTGAAATATTATTGAGCTGCGTAAAAATATCTAGTCTGCAGGGAACTCCAACTAGGACTGTTTAAAAACATTATAAAATCCTAAGATTCAGTAAGAAAAGCTAACCTTATTGCCAAGAGAGCATTCCTACTAAAGGTATGTTAAGATTCAGGTAATATTTCATTCATTTCAATCCTCCACTTTTCCTATGGTCTCAAATGAAAGTGTCCTCCGTTCTTTCTGACACTAATTTTTCCACTTGTAATTTTGATCCCACCCCCTTTCCTCTCTTCCCAGGTCTTATTTCCTGTTTCTTGAATGTTTAATCTTATACATTAGTTACTTGCTTTCTGCTCCCACACAAAACAAACAAACCCCAAACCTTTTATGGACCTTGCCAACCATCTTTCACTTCATGCTCCAAACGAAGAAGCATTAGTCTACACTTGCAGTCTCTCCTCTCAGTAACTGACTCTATTAAAACAGTTCTCGCAAATGATCCAATGACTTCCTAATCATCAAATCCAACGACCTATTCTCAGACTTCAACTTCCTCCTTTGATCCCTGCAGCATTTCATGTCACTGATAAGTTTCCCCAAAACAAAACAAATACTTGTTACCAAATTATACGGAACTTCACCTGTCTTGGTTCTCCCCTGGAAAGTTTCTTTCTGACTTACTTATCAGGTTTTTGTTTTTTTTTAATAAATTTTTCTTTCATCTCCACCTAAACTACTGTTTCAAACTCGATATATTCCAAGCTCCACAAAATTTCTCCTTCTCATGTGAGGACTCCTAGTTTTATAGAGGTATCAAGTTCTTAATCAAGCTTCAGCTTCGGGTTCAATCCAAATCCACCAAATCCAACCAAGCACATCGTTTATCACTTTTCCATACTCACTGTCACCTCCTCAGTTTACAGTCGTATCAACTCGTTTCTGAAGAACTGCAACACCGTCCTCACCGCATTACCCCAGGCTCATCCAGGCGCCACCCTCTAACAGGACGTCCGCTCAGGACACTTAAGGATTTTGTCCTCCACAGCAGAAGCCTGGGGCTGAGGTCCAAGTCGTCGGTACTTCAGCTCTCCGTGGGTGACAAGACCTTTTTCCCGCGTCAGAGCCCGGTGACGGACTCCAATGAGCCTGAACCTCTTGAGCCTGAGGTCCTGAGAACACTGGGCTGCAGGTGCACCTTTCCCTTCCGGCCCAGCTGGCAAGAAAGACCGGAAGGCGGGGAGGGAGGCGCGGCCCCGGTCCACAGCACCGGAGACGTTCCCGCACCCCAGACTGCAGTCCGGAGCCCGAGCTATTTAGCCTAAGTCCCAGTTTTCGTGATGCCACCCTGTCCGCAGACCCCCAGCCACTCACACTCACCCCGACTCCTGGGCCAGTCAGCGATTCGACGCGGGGTCCTCTCCGGACGGAGGCCGAGGCACCTGAGAAGATCGTAAGGACCCCGGAGTTGGGATGCCGGATAGATTGCCTGACTAACAGCTTCCAAGTAACCAACAGTACTGGAAAGAATAAATGAGTGAGAAGACGTTGAATGAGGAGGAAGACGTCTTTTGAATTTTAGGATATAATCTACTAGATCATCCAGAGTCTAGATAAATGGGAGCTTTCACATCTTCTGGACTTAGGCGCTCACCCGCAGCCTAAACCAGTCAGGGTGTCCCTACAGCCGGGAGGGCGGGGTTAGGAGGAGCTGTGAACTAGCCAATGGGTGAGGCCGAGAGGTAGAGCCAAATAGCTGTGGCTGGGAGAGGCACGAACTGAGAGGAGCCGAGAGGGGCGGGGTTTAGAGACAAGGAGGAGGTGATGCGGGAGGGGGCGGGGCCTTCGAGAGCCGAAGGGGTGGGGCGAGCTCTGGAGCTTAAGTGAGGTGGGAGCGCGAACATGGCAGCGGCTGAGGAGGAGCCGAAGCCCAAAAAGCTGAAGGTGGAGGCTCCTCGAGCGTTGAGGTGAGCGCTACCTGACACAGGGTAGAGGGTGACTGTGCCTGCTGCTAACCCGGGACCACGTGGGGTTGCGCGACCGAGGCGCCGGGTGGTATCCTCACCGCCGGCATGGGGCCAACACACGGGACCGGTTGCTCGGGTAGCTGCCCTCCTGGCTGCGACCCTTTGCCCGGCGTCCGCCCAGTTTGGCCGAGTCGCTGCCGGCTCCGGAGACGCTCAGCCGCCCTTGGCCAATCAGAACGCCGGCCGGGGGTGCAGAGCCGTCTTTGGGCAGGCTGCGTGCACCACGTGGGAGCCCGCCCGCGCTGAGCTGGTGCGACCAGGGAGGACCGGACCCGACCCGACCAGATCCGAGTCACTTGCGGCGACCTCCTCTTCCCTGGGGGATGTCGAGGAGAATGCCCAGCGATAGCTCTACCCTGGGGCAAAAACAGAATTCTTGGGATTTTTCGTAAAGGTCGCGGAAGGGCGCCTTGACCTTCCTTTTCGTACGTACATCGAACCGAATGGTGTTATCTTTGGAGACCCTCTACCGGGGACCAAGACTCCCCCTCCGAGGCTTTGCGGAGGTGGCATTTGCCTGAACGGTTAGGAAAGCTTGATTTTTCTTTTTTTCTTTGCACTTTGGCAGCAGTGGAGATAGTTCTGCACCTAACTTTTGTTTCACATATGATTTGATGTTGCAACTTTTACTTACAAGAAGTTATTGGTTAAAATATTACTTCCTAATAAGTATAAGGTGCAGTATGCATATTCCTTGATGATTTTGAAATGTTCCTTGGAAGGCAGAGATTTTTGTATCTAAAAATAGACATCAAACTGATTTAAAACTGTTGGGACACTCCTGATTATACAAGACAAATCTCATTTTTTCTAGCATTACCCTTCCTTAACTCTGAAAGAACGAATCTTTCATAACTGAAAAGATCACTTAGCGGTTTGGTGGTGTGTTAACGCTGTTTTGAATGGATGGTGACCAAATCCCTGCCAGTGCCTTTAATGTATTCCTATTACTTTCAAAGGGTCAAAGGGTTAGTGTGCCTACCTTATATGAAGAAAATAAACTTTTTTTTTAAACGACTCAGGATGTTCCTTTTTCGTTTTAAGCTTTCAAACTGTAGACTAAAGCAAAGGCTTTTGAATCAGACCTACCTGGGTTCAAGGCATGTGCTTTCCCTGGTTGGCCCATTATTAGAGTATTTCCTTAAAAAGTACCTTCTTCACAAAGTTTCCTCTACCAAATTGGAAGACAGCTGCAACTTTCCCCTGCTATCCTACTAAACATACAACCCTTAGATTTTCTCATATGGTAATCTGTTTTCAAAGTGCTTTCCTATTTTACAGATGAGAAAATGGAAGCCCAAATGAAACAATTAGTTAAGGAACTGAAGTTTGAACATAGAGCATCTGGGTGCACGTTCATTGTTGTTTGACTTTACTGTGCCTACTTTTATACAACCACCCAAGATACGCTTCTCTTCGCCTATGCAGCCTTAAAAATAACGATAAATAATAATGTTTAATGTGTATTGTTTCAGCATTTTACCTTTTTTAACTCATTCAATCCCACAAAAACCCTACAAGGTAGACGCTGTAATTATATACATTTTAGCAAGGAGGAAACAGGTATAGAGAGGTTAAGTAACTTGATCAAGGTCAACTTTATTAACCTCACACAGTTTGTCCAAAAGCCCTAGTGAACTGTTCACTCAGCTTTTGTTTCTCTACTTTCCTGTTTTTTGTTTTGTTTTGTGGTTAGTGTACATAACTTTTTATGTTGTTGCAATATATGGGTATGTGATACATAATAATTCTTAAACAGGTGTAATGTTATTTTACATGTTATTAGTGTCTACGTAAAACTTGTAAAAGTCCTTAGGCAACTAAAACTCATTTTATAAAATACGTAGTTAGTACCACCTGTAGACATGAAGTCAGGATTAGACACTTGAGTACTGGGATAAATCTCTTCATTTTGTGTGAAGACCTTTTGGGATTGGCTATTCCTACTTTCATTATATTAGTTTGGCTTTAAGGGTCTCAGTGTGGTAATGCACTGAGTGGTTAGACTGCATGCATTATCTATGATGACTTGCTTGACAGTTAAGGGGCTAGCTAACAGTTTCGGTTAACTTTTAAGAGAACGGCTTATAAAGTCTAAGCATGATTTAATGTGTAGAATCAGTTCCTAGGGAACAAATAAATTTATGATATATATTTGTAAATGTCAAGAAAAGGATTTAGGGCTTTGTGAGAATTTCAGTTAGTTTTAGGGTAGTAGTTCTCAAGGAGGGGAAGTATTGCCCCCCAAGGGACATTTGGCAATGTCTGGAGACATATTTGGCGGGGAGGGCTAATGGCACCAAGTGGGTGGAATTCAAGGATGCTGCTAAACATCCTACAATGCACAGGAAGCCCCCTAAACCAAAGAATTATCCAGACAAAAGTGACAATAGTGTGAGGCTGGAAAAAACTCTGCTTCATGGAGAGCATCTGACAAGTCTAGCTTCCCTTTTTCAAATATCCATTATTTTTCTAGGCTTTTTAGGGTATAGCAGTTACTGAAGTTGCAGAGAAATAAGGTAGCTCTGTTATATTTTCACATTGAGTTGAGGAACATTAATTGAGTGCCATACGTTATATACTAGGTGCTTTATTTATGCTATCTCTAATCTTCCCAGCAACATGTGAAGTAGGAATAATGATCCTTGTGTTATAGATGATGTATTTAGGCCTGAAAGAAGTCAAGAAGCATTTTTGGGAACTGCTCCCTAGATGAAAATGTTCCATGATGATTACCTGTATTTAGGACCACTTAACTTTCTTTTCTCTCCTTTGGAAATATCATTCAAGTTAATTTCTTCAGTGGTCACCTCTAGGAGGATAGAGTTCCTTCCAAGGCTTGTTGAGCACATGCCAAGCCTATTCTTTTAGTCTTTCAAATGCCTGCTATTTTAGGCATGGTGCTAAAAATTAGGTACATAGAGCGAGAGAACTAAGACCCAGGTACCATCCTCTTGGTGGAAAATGAGTAGGGTTTGGGAAAATGATAACTGAGCATAGTGAAGGATGACATACTGAAAGATGATGCTAACCAGATGTGAAGTAGGGTGTCTGGCTTATAGAAAAGTTTGTTTGGAGGTAGAAATGGCAGAGAGCTGCCTCTGTTGGGGAGCTACATTTGTTTGGTCTGACTGAAGCAGAAGATGTAGGAGGGTCCAGGCTTTGTACGGAACACTTTCACTTGTGTGATCTTTCTACCTCTGTATCCTTCAGCCCTCAGACTCTAATTTTAACTGTCTGCTGAATATCTCCTTCTGAGTGTCTTGCTGACACTTCAAAGTCATATATATCGAAATAAATCCATCTGCTGTCCTAAATCTGCACCTTCTTCCATGGTCCCTACATCTGTTAACGGCACCACTAACTTCTCTTACTCCAAAGTTTGGAACCTAGATACTTGATTCATTTTCCCTCTGCGTATGGTTATCAAAGTTGGTCTTTTCTTCTTCAATTATGTCTGATAAATTCCTTTTCTTTTCCATCCCTGCTGCCACAACTCAGTTTAGACTTTATTTTGCTTAGACTTGGTGTTGGCTTCTTAACCAGTCTCTCCACCTACAGGTTCAAGTTCTGCCTAATCTTCTTCAGGAGTAGCTCTTATTCATCATAGCAAATATTCATAAGCTCTGGAGTCGATGTTAGGAAGGGTTGAATCTGAAGAGCCCACATTGTAACTCTCTCTGCTGTTTTAGCAATTACACATTGTTCTGGATCATGACTTTTAATTTTATATAATTTATATATATATAAATTATATATAATTTTAATCTCTATTAAAAAGGAAACAAACTGCACTTCTCCAATCAGCAAATGTTGAGCTTTTCTCAAATTATTGCTTCTTAACCATTTCACTTCCATGGACTTCTTTTAGCCTTTCCTTCTGTCTTTTACCTTTCACTAGGACCCTATGTTTTAAAATTGTGTGTTAAACCTAGGAATAAAGTCTGTAAGTATTTTAGATGACCAAGCAACAGTTTTAGTAACCTCTTCATTTTTTTTTTTTGGTCTTTATTTATTTATTTTTGGAGTAAAATTGTTGTGTTAGTTTCTGCCATACAACAAAGTGAACCAGCTATATGTACACACATATCCCCATATGCCCTCCCTCTTGAGCCTCTCTCCCACCTTCCCTATCTCAACCCTCTAGGTGGTCACAGAGCACCTAGCTGATCTCCCTGTGCTATGCAGCAGCTTCCCACCAGCCATCCATTTTACATTTGGTAGTGTATACATGTCAGCGCTACTCTGTACATCCCAGCCTCCCCTTTCCCCGTGTCCTCAAGTCCGTTCTCAACGTCTAATCTCTTTAAAACACCTTTTTTTTCTGTTTCAGGAAATTCTCCAGAAGATGATTTTTATAAACTGAGCGTACTGTTCCTGGAGTGGCCTGTTGT